TAAAATATTTGTCCTTCAATGTCCAGAAATTCCTGCCTTTGGAATAGTCCTTGGCGAAACACTGATTTAGCTCAACTTTCCCACCAAGTGCCCTCACTTTGACCAGCAGGTCAAATTCAGCATAAACTTTTTAGCAGTGAATTCTTTGGAGGCTTAAATATTATCTTAAAAATTGCTAGGAATTTTGCATCCTTTCCATAATATATTCATGATTAATTTAATATAAGACTATCACCCATTCCCAAAGCTTGGAGTGCAACTGATGTTTCAGGAAGATGGACCATGTTTACCCTGAATTTCTGAGTACTCCCTAGAATACTCTCTTTTCTCTTCAGGAGGAGAAGCCTCTTATGATAAAGAAGGACTTCATTGTCTAGTTGGTGGTCCAGCCACTGTACTTTGAAACTGCACAAATACTTTTTTTTTTTTTTATTGGTTCTTCCTAGTTATACATGAGAGTAGAATTAATTTTGGTATAATTATACAAGCATGGAATACATTTCATACTAGTTAGGAAACCATTCTTATGGATGGACCTAATGATGGGATTCACTATGGTGTATTCATATAAGTACATAGGAAAATTATTTCAGATTCATTTTGCTCTCTTTCCTTTTTCTGTTCCCCTCCCTTCTCTCAAAGGTCTTTTGGAACAGTTAATATGTGAGTTTGCTTTTATTTTAGGTGGAGGAGTATGTCAGAGGAGTTAACTATCACTTTGGAAAACAGTATTCAGGCCTCTGAGGGATTAGACTAGAAAACTTGTGGTGATGGAAAAAGTCAAGTCTAGAAACGTGGGATACTGTGCTGTGAAGGTATGCTTACGTGGGATGTGGGGAATCTGGGTTGAAGGGAGAGGAACAGGTTGGGGCTAAGGGAGAACCAGAGGCAGGAAAAACAAAGAGATGGAAGTGTGTCAAGCTTATCTACAACCCCGATGCCATTTCTCATCTCCCACTCTAACTCCTCTATTCTGGTGGCTGCATTTCCATAATACACCTGTGAGGGACTCCACCCACTCTTTATTCCTACAGCATCTCAACCTCCTCACTCCTGTGAGATTCTGGCTTCATACCTGACACTGCCAACTCTCTGCCTTACTGTTCCAACCAGAAACCGTGAGTCTCTGTCTTGGTCTTCTCAACCTCCCGTGCACACATCCAATGGATAGGATGTCTATACGCTCTGAAAGATTTAATTCTCTATAAAAAATTATAGTTCCTGAAGGAAGCTGAATACTCAAAGGGCTGAATGGAAAGAGATTAATATAGGATCTGCTCACAGAATAGGGATGAGGGCACTAAGAAAGAGTGGGAAAAGACCTAGGGACGAATGCAGCATGCTGTGATCATCCCTAGGAAATCAGGCGCAAAGGGTGGCAGTGGAGCTTCCACAAGTGCTATGTATGTGAGCTTGGAGCAGTGCAAGAGGGGCTGTCTGATGGGGACTGAATAGTGGAACGTGAGGAGAGTGGGTGTGAAAAGAGCAGGGGAAGGAGTTGCTCCCACCACTCTGCCTCCTCCCAGCTTTTGATCTTGGGCCACTACTTCCTGTTGGCAAAGGCCAGACCCGCGCCCCGCCCCCCACCAAAAAAAAAAAAAATCAGAGGACAGAGGAGTTCAGTACTGTAGGACATTGGGGTCTGGCTCCTGGGCTCAGAAAGGGCAAAAGGGATTCAATAGGATAAGCAATGAATGGAGGATGACTAGTCCAGATTCATATTCCTTCAATTTTTGAAAATGCCACTGGAGTTCAAGACCACCATCTCTTTCTAGAATGACTGGAAAAACAAGAATCCTTCCCAGTTGTCTTACTTGTCTCCAGCTTGTGCTCTATTTCCATTTTATAAACCAACATTTAAAAATTTTAATTCTGATGGATGGTACTCATGTGTAATACTCATCCTGGGGAAAAGACGGGCATCCTTGACTAGTATAGCCCCATGTAGCCGTGGCTCCTTTCTTATGTTCTTCCCCTTAAGAGAGGACGTGGGACCTCATATAGAATAGGATGATTATAAAGCCAGGGTACCGTGGTGCTCACCTGTAATTCCAGAAGCTTGGGAGGCTGAGGCAGTAGGATTGTGAGTTCAAAGCCAGCCTCAGCAAAAGTGAAGTACTAAGTAACTCAGTGAGACCCTGTCTCTAAATAATACAAAATAGGGCTGGGGATGTGGCTCAGTGGTCAACTTCCCCTGAGTTCAATCCCGTGTAGCACCCCCCGCTCCCAAAAAAGAATAGGGTGATTTTGGAGTTAGCTACATTTCATTAAGAGATTGTACTGCTAACTTCATGTTTCAACAAATTATCAAAAGCATATTCATGGGGCCTTATACATATTCATAGTGGATGTTCAAGAAATATTTGTTGAAGGGGTGTTACATGTGTCACACACAGTAGTGAATGTTTATACATCCATGTGTCAAATACAACCAGATTTCCACAATTAGACCAGCTGTTCTAAAATGAATTCCTAAAAGGTGAATCTTATTACTCCTCTACTTATACAGGCTGGTAGCTTCCCACTGGCAAGAATTCTTAATACGGTGAAAAGACTTCTTTATCATCCCAATCTCCCAGCCTTACTCTGATCTTTCCAGATCTCTTTCCCTACCTCTCCCAACACCATCTGTTCCCCATTGATATTGAGTTCCCTATCAATCTTAGAAGAACACATTCAAAGCAGAAGATCTCTTTGCCCTATGCTCATTCCCTCAACGCTTAACAATTTTATGCACACTGACCCAAATTCCAGTGGCCATCACCTTATATTCTCTGTGACCAGCATAGCCCACTCTGCCTATGCGTTGGGAAGACTTCAAGTGCTATGGAGTTAGTAATCCCTGGAAGAATGGGTATCTACATATTTCACTGCTCTCCTTTCTTGGGTTTACTCTGGCATGTGTTCAATTGTTTCACGTAATTCCCCAGCACACTTAAGCTCCAGTAACTCTCCTTGGTAGCTTGGGCCTGATGCACCTTTATTTGCTTTCTTCCTTTATCACCTTACTTCCTCACTTCCCTATTGGTATTTCCTGGAATCAACTTCCAAACAAACTACTCACACTGGAATCTTTATTTCAGAATTAGCTTTTGGAGGAATTCTAACCTAAAACATTTCTGTGTTGTCTTTCAGCATCCTCTTGTCTTTGCATATGGCATTGTTTGCGTCTGGATTCCTCTTTCTGTTCCTTTTTGTAAACATCTAAAATGATGTGGGAGAATAAAATATTCTCCCTTTCATCTCGGTCTACTCTCCTTCCCAGAAGTAACCACTGTTTGGCATATGTACTTGCAACATTTTTTCTTTACACATTTAAAAAGTACAACTATCTCCATATATATATTTGTGCATATATGTGTGTATACATGCAAATGTAAATGCAGTTGCCAGTGTGTATATACAATGATAAATGAAATTGAACACATACCTAGATAGGTCTTTTCACACATGTGAATTCACATTATACATATTGTACTGTAGCTTGCTTTCTCCATAGTCGAAACTTTGTACATCACAGTATAAGACGAACTATAATTATTTAGATATTTTTTCTGTTGGTGAATACTTACAGAGCTGATATTTTTCCTATTTAAAAATTCTGCTATGACATATATCTTGTACACATGTGTTAGTCATCCTGTAGATGAATGTTTCTGTTTGGGCTTTTTAGTTATAAGCAGTAGAAGACCCAATCTAAACTAGCTTAAGCAAAAAACTTAAATTTAATTGTTAAGAGGATGAGTCTGGCTTTAGGGGCAGCTACCAAGGGCTCAAGGGGTATCATAGGAACCTGGTCACATCTTCTCTGTGGTCCTCATGATGGTCCATTTTATAGGCCTTCCTTTTCAGTGGCAAAATAGCTACCAGTATCTCTAACCTTCCATCTTTAAAACTCCAAGTCCATTGGAACACAGAGGGCAATTTTCTCTCAATAACCCTGGAAAATGTTCCCAAATTGTGTAACATTGACTCCCAGGCCTATTCCTATATCAATTATTGTGGCTAGTGGGATGCAATGTTTGTCTTGGCCAGGCCTAGGCACATTTACCCTAGTGAGGTGGACTTCAGACGGGGAAGGGAGTGGTTCCCTAGAGTTATGCTTATTTCAATTACTTGAAAGGGTAAAGAATGCTGCATGATTAGAAAAGGAATTATGTCCAGTCAAGATAGGCTTCTGCAAGTGAAAGCAGTGTCAAATGTATATACATTAAGCATTTTGATAGCTACTGTCAAACATCTCAATTTATATTTCTAGGGCTCACGGTATTGGTTAAGATCATGTCTTTCCATAGCCTTTAGACCCTGGATATTGTCAATATTTTAAATTTCAGTGGATTTATATCTAAAAATGGTATTTTACTCTTAATTTCATTGTTAGCCAGCTTTTGCATTCCTTTTTCTGTGAGCTTCTCTTTTTTCTCTGTAATAATATATTCATATATCTTTTGGTCCTAATTCAATATGGTGGTCTTTAACCTATTGTTTGCAGCACCTCTTTTTATATTATGGGGATTAGAACTCTGAGTTTCTTTTTTAAAAAAAAATTTTTTTTGGTAGGAGGACCTTTATTTTAATTATTTACATGCGGTGCTCAGAATCAAACCCAGTGCCTCACATATGCTAGGCAAGTGCTCTACCTCTGAATACAACCCCAACTCAAGAACTCTAACTTCCCTTGAAGGTGAGATGTCCCATGTGACATCTGTTACAAAATAGAGGTCAAGTGTTGTGTGAATGGAGAAGTGAAGGAGTGCATAGATGAATGAGTTAATAGTTTTGTTTGTCCTGTTTTATACTAGGCTTCAGGGCAAAATATCCCCCTTTCCATATACTTTCCTGGCAGTTTCTGTGTGAAGTTTCTCAGTGAGCTTTTCTAGAAGCTGTGAAGTACATGTGAATCAGGTTACAAGGGGGATAAGGTTTGGTTTTACTTCTCAGAAGCGCTCTCCATATTTTCATATAAGAACTCATCCTGTTGCTAGGAGCAAATGGCCTACCTTGTGTGACTCAGACTCACATGATCACATCCACTCCCTTTGAAGTGTCCGCCCTGGATCTCTGTTGAGGCTTGCATCTGCCACGGGAGTCAGCTTGTACGTTGCCCAGTTCAACATCCATCCAGGATTTCATAGGAACTTGAGAATCATTGTTTTTGGCTGGAATCCTGGGTTTGAGGTTTCTTCGTGTAGGACTCTGAAAAAAGGATTTGGAAATGTTGTCCTCTCTAATCCCAAAATATGTATTTGGGACGCTGCCTTCACCATGACCCACCTAAAACTCAGCCTCCTGGGGCTGTTTCACCCAAGTGAGATCATTCCTTTGGTAGAGTTGAAAGAAATAAATCCAGGAGACAGAGTACCTGAGTTCTAATCCTAGTTTTGATAGGCAAGTTATTCACCCTTTTTTCTTAGCCTAAAATGACATGGTTGGAATTGATGATCTCTAAGTCCCTGTAGAAGTCTACAGTTCTGAATTGAATTCTGAATTCTGCTTTGCCACCAACAGTGTGTCCTAGGAACTTTGCCCATTACTCATGAGAATGTCAACATCTGGGTAAATAGATATTTTGGGGTCAGCTCTATAAAGCCCAGAAGTACGTATTGCATGTTGATTTTGGCACATGGACAAGCCTGAGCAGGGCCATGTCAAGCATTTTACCACGATAGCTGCTGGAAGGAAGGCCAAGGGAGGCTGTCTGGGTGAGTTGCTTGAATAAAGAGAACCAGCTCAGGTCCCATGACACAGATGGCCTTCAGGAGGAGTGGAGGGGAGGTGCCCAGAAGTACATCTCGATATGGTAAAGAAATCATTAGCAACCATGTTGGAAATGGCTTATGACACTATGTCAAAGCCACATTCTCAGACAACAGGGAGAGCTGTAAATAGATCTACGCAGTTATCCAAGCATAGCAGAATAAAGCTGAGGAAAGCCAAATTAAACAGGCTCAGCCAACATTTTGGGTGAAAATGTCGAGGATTGCTCATGCCTTCAGAATGAGAAATCCTCTGTTCAGAACACTCACAGTGGCCTATCCTTTGGAAATGGCTAGAAGCCTACTCTATCTTCCCACTAGGACCCATTTGAGCAAAGAAGAACCAGAGGCTATGACCTTTCCAAAGAGGAGACCCCATACCTGGGAAGACTTGGAGCATTGCTTGATTGGTACTCAACTGACAATTACAAAAGAAAAGACAGATTTCAAGACCTCAGGACTGAAAATCATGACACCTGGACATATGACTGAGAGTTAATACAACGTGGTAGAAAATCCTTTAATTTTTTTTTATTATAATTTCACACTCACAATTCCTGTATATATATCACATTTGCATACAGTATTTTACCATTTCTTCCTTCCTTCTTTCCTTTTTCTCTTTTTATTTCATGTCTATATATTCATGCATATTATATAATACATTTTAATATTTATATATAATTATATCTATATGTCTACTTACATGTGTATATTATATTATACACATGAATATATTCTCCCATACCTGTTTGAGAATAAGTTGCAGATTTGATGTCTTTTTACTTTCAAATATTTCAATGCATATTTCCTAAAAATAAGGACACTCTCTAACATCACAATAGTACTACTATCAAAATCAGGAAATGAACATAGCCATAGTATTGTTATTCAGTTCATAGATTTCATTCAGTTCCTAATTGTAGCAATCCTTTATAGCAAAAGTAAATCTTGGATCATATGCCACCTTCGGTTAACACATTTTTAGTCTTTTTGAATCTTTAAGAGTTTCTCAGTTTTTGTCTTTCATGATAGTTTTGGTGAATACAGGCCAGTTATTTGGTGGAATGTCCCTCAATTTTGTCTGATGTTGTGGAATTTCCTTTTAGCTCCATAAACTGCCTCCTGAGGTACAATGCCTACTTGGGATGTGATTGGTTGCAGGAACAGCCTTTCCCGTCTAGCAGTTGAGAGCTCATGCCAACTCTGCTTTGCCTTGTTCTGGGGGCTTTCTTCTTGTCCCCCTCAAACAGAGGCTCTGCATCTGCAAGGGTTGTGAGAAAATCAGATACTTTGCATGTTACAAACTGTTTCCCACAAATTGCTGGAAGAGGCAGATAGATTCTCCAATTTTCTCAGAATTAAATGTTAGAACTGCTAAATAGGCATTACAAACAGATGAGACTGAATTTATGAGTATAATTTAGATTCTTTGAAAAAATAAACTTGAGATCTAAACACATCTATGTACAAATTAATTGCTGCAGCTTAATGAGCTCTTTGCTGGAAGTTTCTGTTTGTTTTATAGTGGAATTTGCTGTAATATGATTTCATCGTTATTTAGGCCTCCAAATAGGCTTACTCTAAAGCAGTCTCTCTTGTAAGTTGGTCCTATGGCATGAAATCTGGAAATGACACTGTTGTAAACTTAGTGAGTCTAAACATGATTTATCAGGCTCTCTGACCCCCACATTTTAATTGGCCAGCTGAGGAAGGTGGAAGAAGATGGGATGGTGTGGGAGAGGAGGACTGTTCAAAGTGCTTTCTCTGTGTCTTCCAGACAGTTGAGGGTTTTCCCAAGGACTGGGATATTTCTGGCTAATCTTGCCAGTCGGCTGAAGAATTCTTCTGATGAGAACCACAGAATCAGACTCTTCGAAGCATAGTAGTCATTACAAATTGCAGTGCACTCTGAGAACTGTGAAAGAAACTGGCTTCTGCAAATTCATCTAGGCAGAAGGGGGCATCTCCAACTTTAACCAATAATAAAAGGCTGACACTTGTAAATGCTTGAATGAAACACTTAATTCTTGGGTCACATTTAAATAAGGATTAGGTCCATTCTTGGACCACAATTCCAGTGATCCAGTCTTTGAAATCACAAGAGATTTGTATAGTTATATTTCTGAATAGTGTGAAGAGCTATATCTCATTTTTTACATATCACTGCTGATTGTTAATATATACCAGCCCTTTTCTTTAAACAACCATTAAATGGTTATTTTAAATTTGGTATAAAGAATACTGTTCTGGAAGCCTTGTTAAGGAAGTTAGTGCCTGCATTAGTATGTTGGAGCGTCGTGCCTATGTTCTCCTCTACCATTTGCAAAGTTTCTGGTCTATTTCCTAGGTATCTGATCCACTTGAGTTGATTTTTGTTCAGGGTGAAAGATGGGGATTTAGTTTTATTCTTTTACATATGGATATCAAGTTTTCTCAGCACCATTTGTTACAAAGGCTATCTTTTCTTCAATGTATATTCTTGGCACCTCCGTGAATTATCAGATGATTGTATCTATGTGGGGTTGTCTTTGTGTCTTCTATGCTATCCCATTGGTCTTCATGCTTGTTATGGTGGCAATTCTGTGCTATTTTAGTTATTCTAGCTCTGTAGTATAATTTAAGGTCTCTTATTGTGATGCCTCCAGCATTGCTCTTCTTGCTCAGGATTGCTTAATGATATCCTAATCTTTTATCATTTGCCAGGAGCTAGGTACTTACTGTATATAGACACAAACAATTAACATCCTAATATTTTCTATCACTATACTTATCCACAAGAACTGTAACCCCTAAAGATGGAAAGTATAGTGAAAAACAGTTCTCGTATCCTTGGATCCACAAGTGTAGGAAAAGAAAAGAGATTGACAAAGAGTTTCCCTAATTTCAAGTACAATGTGAGACATTCAAATAGAAAGAAGCAGAGGGGATATGGTGAGAGAGATAGACAAAAGCTAAATAAGCTGGAAGTGGTAGGGGGAAGACTATGAGGTAAACTTCCAGAGCAAGTTAGAACTGAGCTGAGTATGAAGAAACATTAGAAGGCAGGCAGGTGGATGATGCAAGAGAGGGCATCATAGGCAGAAGCAATAGCACATTTAGCCCCTGCTGGTGGGCTGCAGGCCAGGATATTTGAGGGAGGCTAAGCTATTCAATATAGGCAGAGTTAGAGGAGCTGCAGGAGATGAGGCTGGAAAAGTAGGAAAGGTTCATGGAGATCCTGTACATCCTTTAAAGAGCTTGGAATGTCATATAAATATTATTCAGAATCACTGAAGAGATTTAAACAAAGAAAGTCATATCACTGGGGAAAAAATGCCAGACTTGCTAAACACAGAAAGTCATGGATCATATGTTTTCTCTCATATGTGGAAACTAGAGAGAAAAATATTTTAAAAGGGGACCTCAGGAAAATAGAATAGAGGCTAATAAAGTTGAAGAAGGGGACCAGAGGTAGACAGAAGGGAAACAAAAGGGGAGGGACCAGGGAATTAAATTTGGTTGTGTGCATATACCAACATGTCACAATGAATACCACTATTATGTGTGATCATAATGCACCATTAACAAATACTAGACTTGCCAAAAAAAAAAAAAAAAGTAATGTCATCAAATGGCAAAGGTTAGGAAGGACAGAGGTTAGAGACAGTCCCAACAGTGAGGGCACAGTTTTAATAGAATACTAGGCAGTGTGACTTAAACTAAAATCATGGCCTGGGAACAGAGAAAATGGTATACATTTAGAAGGGCATTTCTGAGATGAAGGTATTGAGATTTGGTAACTAGGCGTGGTATAGTGGCGCATGCCTGTACTCCCAGTGGCTCAGGAGGCTGAAGCAGGAGGATCGCAAGTTCAAAGCCAGCCTCAGAAACTTAGTAAGTCCCTGTCTCAAAATAAAAAATGAAAAAAAAAATGGCTGGGATATGGCTCAGTGATAAAGCACCTCTGGGTTTAGTCACTTGTACCAAAAGAAAAAAGGAAAACAAACAAATAAATAAAACTTGGTAACTGATAGGATATAAGATTTATGAAGAAGCATCAAGTAAGGATGACTAACTTTCCTGCCTTTGGTAGCTGGCAGGATTATATTATTATTCCTATTAAATCTATATTAGTCAGTTTGGAGGAAACAAAGATGATGTGTTCAGATTTTCACATATGTGGGTTTGATGTGCTTGAGGAACACCCAAGTGATGATATTCCATAAGAAGTTGGAGGGTGACTTCCAGATCATAGAAGCAAATCAAGTTGGAAATGAGATATTTGGGAATCACGGGTACACAGGTAGTACTAAAATAAATAGTTAAGATTAGACTTGTTCACGGTGGTATGGCTGAAGACAATTATAAAAACAGATGAGCCCAGGAAAATGAACAGAAGAAGACAAGAATCAGATATAAGAAACCTTTCAAAAGTGGGATTAGGAAGATAATTCTTCCAAGAAGAGAAGAAGCAGTAAAAGAGGCAGTGGAAACCAGGAGAGAAGACACTCGCAGAAGTTAGTTAAGGAGTAAGTGGGTCAGAGTGTCATGAAGGGGGCTGGATTGTAGCTCAGTGGTAGAGCACTTGGCTAGCACTTGTGAGGCACTGGGTTCAATCCCTCAGCACCACATAAAAAAATAAATAAATTAAATAAAGGTGTTATGTCTGTCTACAACTAAAAAATAATAATAAAAAAAAAAGAGTGTCATGGAGGCAGAGAGGTTATTAGGATGAGATAGATTTAAGAAGTACATTTTGAGAAATAGTAGTTGATTAATGGGAAATAGTATACACTTGCT